AAAGTGATGGAGATTGGGGGAAGGAGCAGAGACAGGCCCCTCTTTACAGGCCCTTTCCATTTCTCTGCAGCCCACCTCCCCTCCAGCGCCACACCTGGCAAGGCTTTTCACACCACAGGCCAGGCCAACTTTGTCTTTCAAACCATTAGAGCCTTCCCATTTGTACCTGAGGGAGAGAGGGAGCTTCTGCAGAGGTCAGCCTTGAGAAAAAGGGCAGATTTAAGAATTGCTCATGCTCCTAAATTGTTGCCTCTTGGAGTACAGCACTCTTTACCTGCGATTGTGGGGAGCCAATGGGCTCCTGGCCTCTGACCTGCTCTCAGAGATTATTACAGCTAATGAACTATGAGCTCCATTTCGTACACCACCCCCTTTCCCACTTCCCATTGCAGGGTAGGGAAAGGCATTCATTGCCCTGGTCCAATAGTGTTAAGTAAATGATCTCCCTTCTAAGCTTCCTTTGTGTACCCTCCTGGCACTCTGCAAAAATAACCAACGAGGTCCCAAATATAAAGCAGCACCCCAGCTCCTCTCTATTCTCACAAGGCTTCTTCCCACAGCCACCCAGGTTTTATTTCAGGAGCTCATTTCACATTCTGCCCTTTGGGAATCGTGCTCCTTCCATTTCAGCCCTATGTTAACTTGGTCCCCCCCAACCACTCTTCTAATCCAATGTAGAATCTACATCATACCACTTATTGCCACCATTCTATACTCAGACCCTCATTGCCTGGTCCACACTAGCCCTCATTCTGTACCCCCCTTCCATTGTGTAACTGGCTTTACAGCCCCTGACATATGTTTGCGCAGACACAGTCCTGTAACGCGTGCCCTGCATAGACCCTCACAAGATCCTGAACTCTTCTAATAGCAAGATTCATCCTTTTTACCTAACTCAAAATAATAGCCCTGTTAAGCCCCTCAGGCAGAGTTCCCCATGTTCCTTAGGGGCCCTTGGTCCCCACTTCATAGGCCTGATCACCCTGAGCTGTGCCTATCTGTGTCCCCCCCTCCAAGAATAAGTACTCTCAGAGGACAGGGCCTGCCTTCAGTTCTTCTCTGGGGGCTCAGAATAAATGACTGAATAAATACATTCTATTTGACTCCTTAATAATTGTTTTTTTCCTACTGAGTTAATACACTCCAGTGCGGCTCCTTCCCCCATCAAAACATAAACTTCCTGACCTCAAACCATTTCTTTAAATATAGTTCATTTTTTTAGAGCAGTTTTAGGTTCACAGCAAAATTGAGTGGAAAGTACGGAGACTTCCCGTATATCCCCTGCCACCCCCCACACAAGGCCAGCCTCCCTCCCTAACAACATCCCACACCAAAGTGGCACGTATGTTACAATCAATGAACACGGCATTATCACCCAAAGTCCACTGTTTACATTAGGGTTCACTCTTGGTTTTGTACATGCTACAGATTTTGAAAAATATATAATGACATGTATCCACCATTATGGTTTCACAGAGAATGGTTTTGTTGCCCTAAAAATCCTCTGTGCAATACCTATTTATCCCTATATCCCCCCAACCCCTGACAACCATTGATCTTTTTCCTATCATCATAATTTTTCCTTTTTCCAGAATGTCATATAGCTGGAATCACGCAGTATGCACCTTTTCAGATAGGCCTCTTTCACTTAGTAATGTATTTAAGGTTCCTTCATGTCTCTTCACAGCTAAATAGCTTGTTTCTTTTTAGTGCTGAATAATATTCCATTGCTGTATATACTACAGCCTCAAACCATTTTTAAAATCTCTCTTTAAACAGTTTATCAAAAAAGCTTGAGCAGTCATCAGTTGTGGGTATAACCTTAACATAAGGCTTTAACCTTACATGACTTTGGACAAGTGACTTGACTCTAAGCCTCAGTTGCCTGGTCTATAACCATCTCACAGAGTTGTCGATTATGAATCTGTAAAAACTAAAACCTATAAAAATTAACACCAAGGATACAATGTTTAGAAACTGTGTTCTCTTAAATCATAGACGATCAGAAGTTTGCTCTTTAAAAGCATAGCAATAGTGAGAATGGGATATCTCACTCTTACCTGGAAGGTCTAAGTCACTCTGACACAGAGAAGCAGTCATGATTTCCAACCAGGGGGAGAACTCCAGAGGAGAGGTTGCTGGAGACAACATTGCACATTTATCTTAACCTTGTAAAGGAAACAGGATCCTAGGTCTGCTCCTAGCCCAGGCATGATGTAACTCCTTTGCCTTGAGTCCATCAAAACTCTGCTTAATATAAATTTTACCTAGGTTTCATCCTTCCCAACATCCTACATTTACTCGGTCTCTTCCTTTGTTGAAACACTCCACACTTCCTCTGCAGAGCTCTCTTTTTTAAAAAGAAATATTTAGTGAATTGACTCCAATAAATTAAGTGTAAATGATCCAGAACTGACATTAGAAATGTACATTAGAAATGTATAAAAAGTGAATATAAATTACCCAAGTACATGGAGAGTTCTAGTTAAGCATACATAACAAATACATATTCAAACACATATGTTGATTCTGAAAAAATAAATGAGATAATAAAATTATTCTCAAGTTTTAAAAACAGTGTGAAATAGCTTTTGTTAACTTAAATAATAAATGGCAGAAAACAAGAGGCACACTCAACTGGGGTTTATTAAGCCAAGATTTTTGAGAACGCACCTGGGAAACACACGAACCTTAGACAAGCTGTGGCTGTTTTTCAGAAGGGAAAGTTGGAACCTTCAGCATTTTAAAGGCATACAGAGAGAAGGAAAAAGGTGGGGGGAGCAGGCCAATAAGGCAAAGTGGTTACATGCTTGTGAGGCCCAGGAAAACTACATTTTACATAAAATAAGGGGAATGTTAAAAGGGGGAAAAGGGAGTGAAGGGAGCATCAATTATGTAGGTGTCCCTGGGTAGATGGAAGAATGTCTGATTCTGTCTTGTCTCCAGTTCTGTTACCTGTAAAGATAAACTCGTGATTCATTATTAGACTGAAATTGGATAGGCTTTAGTTTTCGGTACTAGACCTAGGCACAATTTGCATGTCCTTGCTTATGGGAGGTTAGCAAGGAATTTCCTTAATGAATGATCTATGAACCAGTTCTTCACAGGTGCCTGAAGCTTTTACCTTCTCTTTTGCATAAGGAATTGGGGGTGGGGGGGATAGCCCTGAGACTTTGATTTTCTTTTTACAATTTCCACGACATTCTACATAAATGTTAAACCCCTGATTTAAGTACAATTTTATCATGCTAGAAGCATGGTTTTAATTTTTTAACAGATATTACTATCAGAACATATTGGCTTAATCATAATTAAGACATTTTGTATACATGGTATTAGTGTGGAAAAAATCTTAATATTTGCTCTGTTTTAAACTCAGTCTTTCCAACATAAGAAAATAGCTACACACATTTAAGTGCTTCCTTCTTGCAGCAAGTTAACATAATTTTATTGGACCACAGGGCTGTCCCTCATGTTCTTTCGTTGCTGGGCCTTATAAAGATTAAATGAGATCACGCATGTAATCATGACCAGCCACAGGACCAGCCATATGATAAATTTACAAATAACGTTTACCTGTGCCTGGCACAGACAGTCACTAAAAAAAAAAAATATTTATTGATAGAATGTGTGACGCACCACGTACAGGAGCAGTCACTTAAAATGGGAAATAATGAAGATTTCAGAGTCTTTTTTTTTTTTTTAATGATGACATTGAGCTCTGAAAGAGCAAATGCAGTGCCTAAAGCTACACAGGTCAACGGGGCAGATAAATCTAGACGGGCAAGGTAAGCCTAAGGGCTGAGTGAACAGATACAGATACCAGAAGGCAGAGCTGAACTAACGTCTCCAAAGGTCCCGCCTCCACCTCTTTGTCCCTGCCCTCATCTCCTCCCCGCCTCCAGTGCCTCAGTCCCACTCTGGTGGCCTCAGCCGATCTGAAGCAATTTCCGCCCTAAGAAGGGTGGGGCTTCCGTCTCCGCCTCTCGCGACTACTAGAGGTGGAAGGAGGGACGATGGTAGCCACATTGCTTCCTCGCGCTTTCTCTATGTTCTCCATCACAGTTCCGCCCTTACTACTCCCACTTCCGGCCAAGTAAAAATCTACTTCCACCCGGAAGAGGGGCTGTCCCGTTGTGGGAGCCGCCTGTGACCGGGTCTCTTTCCTGTCCGCCAACTTACCCCGTACTTCCGCCATGATATTCTCCACCACCGCTGTTCCTTCCAGCCACGAACGATGCGAACGAAGCCAAGTTCCCCCGGCTCAGGACAGGAGCTCT